CCCTGTATAGTTAGCGATGTACAACTTTGCTGTTGCGACTCGTATCAGTGAGTGACATATTACTTTTTATTTTAAAGTGACGTTGCGCATATAATTACCTCTCTCTCTCTCTCTCTCTCTCTCTCTCTCTCTCTCTCTCTCTCTCTCTCTCTCTCTCCTCCCCCTCCCCTCCTCTCTCTCTCTCTCTCTCTCTCTCTCTTCACGTGTGTACAAATTCTTAAAAATACACAGTGCTTGACCACAAACAGCGCGCGCGAAGCGCGCGTTCTGTCATGTCTAGTATTTCTAAATTGTAAACCTTCATTTACTCTGAACCTAAAAGAGAAATGAAGCACATCGCGCTTCGAGAAAATCAATCGGCATCGCGGAGAAGGGCCTTAACTGTTCGATATTAACGACATTCGCGCTGGTAACATCTCTCTTTTAATAAGGGACAAGCGCGCGCTTCGCGCGCGCCATTTGCTCTCTCTGAAAATTCGCATGGTTTGACAGCTGCAAATAACACGACTGAAGTATCGCACAAGCGAGACAGCCAATCAGCATCGCGGAAAAGCGATGAACTTCCAGTGGAAGTTCAGAGGACGTCCGTTTTTCACAAGTTTCTATGTCCATAAAATATCCATAAAGGGATCTAAAATGGACGTCACTTTCAATTATGCTCTGCTATTCGTAATCATTACTACAATAAGCATTTCAAATTACATAATGGAGAGGTTTCTGAGCAATAATGAATTTGAAATGTAAATATATTTAATACAAATATCAAGTTTAATACTTAAAATTATCGAAAGGGGAGTTATTTGCTTATTGTCACGAGTAATGACAAAAATTGAAACGGGAAACTTATAGTCAACCCAACTGGCTAATTATTTAATTAGTTTATTACACACAACGTTTCGAACCTATTCTTTTCGGTCTTTTTCGAGTCATACTGCAAATCAACAACAACAACGCAGCTATGAACAATGTGGGTTAATAAGTAAAAAGGATTTAGTTAAATAGTTAAAAGTTTAGTAACGCACCTAACAATAAGTCAGTCATCGTCGTCGAATAAGACAGAGTCGAGTGGTTACTGGTGACAATAAGCAAACTCTTCTTTCGTCGATTACCCACCATAGACCGAAATAATGGTGTCTACATCCACTAATGTAATAGCTAACGTAATAGCTTACGACAAAGACGTAAGCGTAAACGTAGACAGCGCACAAGCTTTGTGTAAAAGTAACGCCATATGTAATCGGAGGTAAGTACGACATACGCCAAAGTTTGTGCGCTATCTACGTTTACGCTTGCGTCTTTGTCGTAAGCTATTACGTTGCTTTGTGCTCTGACCCTTCGTCAAATTCCCGCGAGCGAGAGAGAAACATCTATGAGTGCCGCTACACGGAGTGCTTAATCGGGTTTAATAACATCCGTGGTTATAAGGGACTGGCCAATCACAGTTATTCCATTCTTTTGAGAAGTAGTTGTGATTGGCCAGTTTTATAACTACAGATGTTATTAAACCCGATTAAGCGCTCCGTGTAGCAGCATTCTATAATCGTAGAAGTAGAAGAGTGAGATAGCCTCTCTCTCTCTCTCTCTCTCTCTCTCTCTCTCTCTCTCTCTCTCTCTCTCTCTCTCTCT